TAAACTAACTAACGACTAATAGTAACGTAACGTTACGTAACGTAAGTTTAGTTCTACTATACTACGTACGTAAGTAAGTTACTACTATACACATATATATATATATATATATATATATATATATATATATATACAGTATGGAACAAAGAGGTCACATGACCGGATATCGTTGCATAACTAGAAGAGATATATTGGCACCCCAGGGTGTTGATTTAGAGTAGGGTTCAAGCCCATTCACGCCGTCTCAAAGCATTATTGGTCTCAAAGTGGGTTCCTCGTCATCGAATTTGAAAACAAGAATGTTTTTCAACTTAAAAAATAAAACAAAGAAAATATTCCAGTGAGAAATATAATTCCACTAGTCTTGGAGTACATATAAGTATTTTGGAAACACTACGCTAACTACAGATGAGTTAAAAGCACAAATCATATTTAGTTTATGTTAACAGTTAATGTTTGTCTCATAGCTTGAATTTCCATTAATTTGAAAAACGAAACTGGCAAACAAGAAAATAAATAATTAGGCGGAAGGAAAGAAAAAAAAATGACAATTCAACGAGACAGAGGAGACAGGCACTTTGTCAATAAACTTGTTATGTATATTTTTCAATACCACAGACACAAACTCTACATTTCAGTGATTATTGCCTTTTCCCGTTGGAAATTTAACCGAATGAGCGAGTTATTACAACGCTGACGTTATCGCATCGTCCGGTTCCATTCCGTCCCGTCACCAAGCAAGCACGTGCACCGATGTAGCAACTCGGAGACGAGGACCGCCTTGCGTAAATAATACATCGTTTCCTAGACTCTGAACTAAAACTCCAGGCATATAATTGCTAAAACCATCTCTTCTGGTCTCTCTTTTTGTACTAATTTCTATATCGTGTCCTCAACAGTTGTGTTGGAGAGGCAGGTCTTTATAGCAGGATCGCGTGACGGGATTACTTAAAGTTTTACCCCACTCCTCCTCTCTCTCAGTTTGTACGTAATGGAGAAATAGAAACGCTGACCTTCTCACGATATGCTTCAAATATTCATTTTCAAACGGCGCTGTCTATTTCTTTATTTATCCGTTTATTTAACTGTCCATCTGTCATTCCGTCGATCTACCTAAGAAGAAAATGAAACGCTTGACTTTTTGATGAATATTAACTTTGGTTATAAATGTGTACTAATTAATTATTTTCTGTGAGAGTCAAACATTTAATGGATATGGTTGTTTTACGTCTCGTTTTTTATTATTCTCCCTGGAACTTTGCATTCTACACTCGCGGTATGATTCCACAGATGAAGTGAAAGGGTTCCGTAACACTATTAGTGATAGTCGTATTTTAGAAACACGACGTAAGCACGAAAAATTACAAACGCTACTATACGCAATTGTCACCAATATCTTAGCATGCTAGCTGTTAGAATTCGAAGACTTGAATTTAACCGGTTGATGTCTGGCGAGTAGGTAAGCATTAAATGACTGTGAACGTTGCTCTTTTGTGTGTAATCAAAAATCATACCAAGCAGTGCCTGTAAATATTTCCTCGTTTCATATCTAACCCTTAGCCGGTATCTAAAGCTTTTACGCTCCTATCTTCGAACGATACCCGATTTCCATTCCTAATTATCATTTCCGTTAATAAACATAAATTAGAAGCATTTCGGACATACGAATGAAAATACTTCGTTGTTATCGCTTTTATTTTTCCATTTCGGGTACAAATAAGAAAATTAAGGATGCCATAGATTACCAATCAGAAAAATTAAATCCACGTCGTACGCATTTTTTAGTCTTTCATTTATTCTTATGCCACAATATTATGTATTTATTCTAAGTGTAATAAAGACTTGGATTTCTATACGTTAAGTATGATGTAAATAAAGGCTTGGGTTTCTATACATTAAGTATAATTAAATAAAGGCTTGGGTTTCTATACATTAAATATGTTGTAAATAAAGGCTTGGGTTTCTATACATTAAATATAATGTAAATAAAGGCTTGGGTTTCTATACATTATATATAATGTAAATAATGGATTGTGTTTCTATACATTATATATGTAGTAAATAAAGGATTGGGTTTTTATACATTATATATGTAGTAAATAAAGGATTGTGTTTCTATACATTATATATGTAGTAAATAAAGGTTTGTGTTTCTATACATTATATATGTAGTAAATAAAGGATTGTGTTTCTATACATTATATATGTAGTAAATAAAGGATTGGGTTTCTATACATTATATATGTAGTAAATAAAGGATTGTGTTTTTATACATTATATATGTAGTAAATAAAGGATTGGGTTTTAAATTAATAGAAATATGAATAAAGACTTGAGATTCTATGCATAAGAAAGATTCTGTTATGTGGTTTCGTTTTTACTTTGCTCTATTTTTATTTATTTAACAATAACAAACCAACCTTAACACTAAATAAACTGCGCCTTCCAACAGTATTTAGTGTAGTTTTCATAGTATATCACATTTCAGCGTCTATTAGTTTTAGAAAGCTTTTCTTTTTGTTTTAATGTCTTTAGTGTGGTCCCTAACAATTTGTATATATTAGATATATCTTAACAACTGTACGTATTAGAGTTATGTTAATGGTAGGCACTTCTATTAATATTTATTGTTTTGAACCTGATGAAAATCGCCGATGCTAGCGTTTCGCAACGACAAGAGTTTTTTCAGCCTATTCAAATGATTTATTTTCCCTAAATCTTACTTCTAGTTATCGATTTAATTATATGATGAAAAACAACAACTTTTTGTTAACGTTAAGACACGTATTTGTTTGTAATTTAAATGCGTAACTTTGACTGGGTTGGTATGTCTTATAACGCTTCAATTTCCCAATTTCAGATAGAAAGTTATTGTTCTACGAGTTCTTTTGTGCCAGTTCTCTTGGTTGTGAATTGATTAAGGCGGTTTTAAGCTATGCTTGCCAAACTACTCTTATGCATTCCATTTTGACTCTAAGCATTGAAGGTTTCTTACTGGCCCATCAGTTACTATACGTAAAATCTTTAATGTTTCTTATCGGCTATACAACTACGACATGTACAACAACTATTGTTCAGTATAATGCCATTGTGTAGATGATAATAAAAGTTAGTAGTATTCGACACGTAACTAATAGTACTTAAGACGGTTTTTTATAATATCTTAAATAAGGCATCTATTACTAAATAATAATGATATTTATATAAACAAAAATACCCACTAGACAAACTGTGACTATTAGTGGTCATAAGAAGAATCTAAACACGAACCATGAATCCTCGGATTCATAATCTGGGTGTGTTCACCAATAGACTTCGTCCGTCCGACATGAAACAGAATAAAAAAAAAGAGTATCCGACAAAATGTAACGAAATTAACGTTTTCCATGAAAAAAAAATACACGCGATAAATTTCAGTGTTTGTAATTCAAGTTGCTTATAATAACTAAAAATAAGCTCTGTGTGTTAAACAAAGAACGATGATAGTATTACATTGCACTATATTTACTGCTTTAATATCATTAGTCGCGGGTCTTAGAGCGATACGTTAAAAAGGAGTTGAGAATAACTATGAATAACTACTGGTAGTTTAACTTGTTTGTTTCAGACATTGTCGCTTAGCTACACGGAGGCTATCTGAGCTAACTGTTTGTAATTTTGAAATGATAGGCTAGAGGGAAGGCAGGTAGTGAATGTCACCTACCACCAACTCTTGGGCTGCTCTAATCGAAAGGTGAATTTGGCTTTCGCTCTTATAACGTACTCATGGCCCCAAAAGTACGAAGCGCGTTGATTTTTCAGTAACGAGATGCAAACCATGAACCCACGGTTCGGAAAGCTAATCACTAAACCCTGCCCGGCCCCAGTAGTTCAGACTCAAAGCAATGGAACTCCTAATTATATGTAACATGCTACTCTCTTCATCCACCTATCTCCACGAGCGAGAAATATTTCAATAGAAATTTCGTTTTTTATGTATTTTTTACTGGGAAAAATTACATTTTTTTACGGTCATTATTGGATTTCCTCTTAAGGATTTTGAGAATTGTAAATATCAGTGTTCAGCAGAAGTCAAATAATTTGGTGTTCATAAGAGAGAATATTTCCTTTGGATTTCAATCTACGTTATTGCAATTTTCTCTTTTTTTATCCCTTTTCCTCCATTTATAAAAATTGAAATATTTATAGTTCAAAAGAATTATGTAGATTGTTTCTATCAGTTCACTGAAGTGGTATTTGGTATCTGGTTACAAGATAAGGGACGACGCTGTTAAAACAGGGATTAGACACTCACTTCGTTTCGGTTTTTACTCTTTCTTTTTTTTTTCAGTTCACTTCTTTTTCTTGCTAAATTTCCTAATTCGAAGAGAAATGTAGATCCAATTTGAAAACATTTTGTCTTATGATTTGTCTTTTACTTGTATTATCTCTTGAAAGAAAACTGTTGTAAGTAAAATTAAAATTCTAACTTTCGTTCTCGTTCTATACATGTTAATAAGATTATAAATGAATAACTTAGAATTCTGACGTCTGGATTTATCGAAAAGAGTCAAATAAGAAAGGAAGTATTTTTTCAGAGTTAGAAAAGACTTATATTGATTTCCAATAGGATAAGTTTAAAAGATTAAGAAAGCTTTCACTAAAATATTAACTTATCGCCTCATGATGTAATTTGTTATAAAAGTCTTGAAAACAAGTAGAAATCAACTTTCGCTTCCTTCAACATATGCCTGTCGGTAGCTCATCGGTAAGTCGAAGGGCTTATTACTCTAAAATCGGGTTTCGATACCCGCGGGGGGGGGGCACAGTAGAAATAGTCCATTCTGTAGCTTTGTGCTTAACAACAAACAAACAAACTTTCACGCATTAAAGACGCCTTCGACTACTATTTCCAGTAATTGTGTCCCAAACGGTTGCTATTACATGTTAAAGTTGTAATATATGAGAATAAATATAATGAAACGTATTGATCATACACATGAATAGTATAATAAAGCCTTCCTGCCATTCCATTACGTGCGAAAAAATGTTTTCACTTCTAATGGGGGAACTCAATCTTGCAGCTGTTTTCATAGATTTGAGTCCTTGAGTTCTTGAAGAAATATGTAATCCACAAATAATGTCAGACTATCCGTCTGACAAACACTTATAAAAGTGTACAAGTTTGGTGGCTTTTAATTTCGATATTGCAAGATCTTAAGTGATGAGAAAAATAAGTAGAACACCTAAAAAGAACGACAAGAACTACAATACAATGACATCAATCTTGAGCATCTCGTTTTATTTGAATGGTTAAGGATACTTGAAAGTAAAAGGAATAAATGTGGTTGTTTCCGATGTATGCCAAGTTGTGTGGTGTGTCAACCTGACATATCAAGGAGACTGTAAAAGCGCTACCTAGTGCACAAAGCCTAGCACACTCTACTTCGAAGAATAAAAATGGGAATTATTAATAAATCAAAACGTTTGCTCTAAAAGAGTTTTATCAACTAAAACATAAAACTATACTAACATGCTTGACCATTATGAATCTAATTTAGTAGTTTTTTACTTGCATGTCCTAGGTGTAGGAAAATTGCTATTAATTAGGCAATGTGGCTAACTTAGAGCTTTCAAATGTTTAGATCAAAGAGGTTACTAGGGTTTCGATTATGTTAAAGATTTTAACTTTTCAGAAACAGTTACCTTTTTAAACGTAATTTAGAAATTTCGTTAAAAGTAATCTATAGTCAGAGTCTCAATAGAAATTTAAACATTAGCACTAAAATTTATTTATACAAGAGAGAGAGAGAGAGAGAGCGTAGAAAACACGTTCCTACAAAGTTACCTTGGTAGCTAGCGCCATCTACGATATATTACAGATATTAACGATGATTGATAGACCTAGATAATGTACCGACTCGTCTCCGGGGGAAAATTAAAAGAGAAGAGAATAAGAAAGCGGATATATTGGTAACTGATGAGACTAGTCCTTCTTATCATCTTTTTCAACTTTTTTTTTGTGCTTCTGCATGAAAACCTTATCTTATCTGAATATGTTTACAACATCAATTTTTAAGTTCATTGTTTAATTCACTATCAGGACTACAGAATACTTTGAAAAAGAAACTTAAACCATTCTTCTAAAGCATGAGAATTCATCCATCTGAAAATATTCTATGCATGAGTGGAAAATTTCTTACAAATACATTTTTACTGAATTGTAACAAACCCTCACTCTTTTTTGGAATATGTTTAAATAACAGCGAGAGCGATGGATTACTGATATATGTTTTGTTATAAAGTCATTAATATTGTCAGTTATATATAAATTAAGTTGTTTCATATAAATACATCAATAAACTGAATCTTAAATAGGTAGGTTAAAAACTGAAATGTAATCTATGCAGAGTTTGTTCAAGACAACAAAGTTTTCAAATTGATATAATTAAATACAATTTATATTGACTTTCTCCGTTT